CAAACGCCGTTATAATATAAAACTGTGGAAAACATTCACCGATTGTTTCAATTGTCTGCCGATCGCCGCCATCATCGACGAGAAGATCTTCTGCTGTCACGGAGGTATGCATTGTGTCGTGTGTTTTTGCAAACAACCATACCGTTCCCCTCCCATTCCTATTGATAAGAGTTTTTTGTACTCAAACTCATTGCGTGTATATCTGTGTGTCTTATGACAGGTCTGTCACCGGACTTGCAATCCATGGAACAAATCCGACGCATAATGCGGCCGACGGACGTGCCCGACACGGGCCTACTGTGCGACCTGTTGTGGTCGGACCCGGATAAGGACGTTCAGGGCTGGGGCGAGAACGACAGGGGCGTGTCGTTCACGTTCGGCGCCGACGTGGTCTCCAAGTTCTTGAACCGACACGACTTGGACCTGATCTGTAGGGCGCATCAGGTGGTGGAGGACGGCTACGAGTTCTTCGCCAAACGCCAATTAGTGACCCTATTCTCGGCGCCCAACTATTGCGGCGAGTTTGACAACGCCGGCGGTATGATGTCCGTCGATGAGACGCTCATGTGCTCGTTTCAAGTGAGTGGACAGCCGTTTATTTGTACGATGCATGTGTGCTGGTGGTGTGGGTTTGTGGGGGTTTTTTTTGTAGGTTTTAGGTTTGGGTAGGAATTGGCGTTTAAGTTGTTGTGTGTGTTGTTGAGTGTTATGCGGTTTTCTAGGGAATTGGCAGTGGGTTTGGTTTAGTTGTAGGTATTTTTGGCTATTTTTAGGTGTTCTCTAATGTGTTTTCTATCAAGAATTTTATGAACAGTAAACAGTTTTAATTGCAATAATATTATCTAGTTTATTTTGATTGTGAGGTTAATGTTTGCTTAGACTTAGACGCTGTTGTTGTTTAATGATTTTTTTGTTGTGTGTGAATATTCTCTGTGTAATTAACGTGTTGTTGTAATGAATAGGAGTTTGTTTGCCATTCATAATATGAGTTTGAAAATGAGATAAAATTGTTAATTGGATTCAGATTTAATGAGTTATTATTTGCTTTTATTATATGATATCTATTTGCTTGAAGCTATTATTTGATGTTTTGCTTATGTTTTTAGTACTTCGTAATACTATAATGACTTTTATATTCATAATTGTACAGAATATTCTTGCTATAATTAACTCATATTTAATATATTCTTTCCATTTGATGACTATTAAGTTATTATGAAATTCTCATATAATGAATATATTTCTAATAATAGTGAAGTATAGCCGTTCATACGAGTATATTCTCGTGATAATTAGCTTGCTTAATATACGAATTCATTGTGTAATGGCATTTGAGTGTATAGTGAGTGTGTATAGTATCGATCGCGAGTGTCGCGTACCGGCGCTCAGGGTCTCCGGGCTCAGGGCCATGACCTCAATGTGTACACATTAGAGACACACATACATAGAGTGCCCGAAAAAATATTTTTATTACTGTCTATGAGTTGTCATAATATTAGGAATTTGTTGTAAATTGGATTTTATTCGTGTTATGATTTGATATCTAAATGAATGGTTTTGTTTTGTTTTGTCTCTTTTCTTGGGAACAGATTCTGAAGCCGTCGGAGAAGAAGGCGAAGTACCAATACGGAGGTCTCAACTCTGGTCGACCCGTCACCCCTCCCAGAGGGCCTGTCAAAAAGAAATAATAATCAATGTATAGACACAGTATAGACACCACTATTCGTATGATTACTATAGGAATTTGTGTTGTTTTTTAGGATTTCAAACAAAAAAAACTATTACGAAATGAATTTATTTTTTCCCCACTTTTTGTGTCAATTCTTTGTATGGATTCTCGCGACGATTCTGTCGGAGAGAAACAAAAGTGTATTTTTCAAAAAACAAACACTCGATTCGCACCAAAATTTTATATTTAATTTGTTTTGTAGTGATTATTATTTGTTTTTTCTCTCTCTCTCCCGATATTCTGTGTATTATTTTTAAGACAGTTTATGCGATACGAAAGTTTAGACCATTTTTCAAGAGACAACGATATTGCCTACCCGTCCTATCCACGCGTTTATTGTCTGTGTTTTTTGTATAATTTAATCATTCGTTTGTTTGTTGTATTTTTTCCGATGAAATTATATGTAAATTGTATTTCCCGACCACTGAATAGTATTTGTGAAAATAGTTTACTATATATTTCTATTGTAAAAACGCAATGTATTTTATAATTTGATTAATTAATTAGACACCAAAACGCAATGGTATTTCTAATTGTCTTAGTTTTTATTGAAATAATAGTATTTGTGAAAATAGTTTACTATATATTTCTATTGTAAAAACACAATGTATTTTATAATTTGATTAATTAATTAGACACCAAAACGCAATGGTATTTCTAATTGTCTTAGTTTTTATTGAAAACGGCCGGTGCTTATGATTACTAATTGAGTGCTCACTTTCTCGCTGTCTATTTGTGTCTCAATTTACTTGAATGTATTTCTTAATTACTTTCTCACTTAACAACTGATTATTGATTTTATGTATTTTTTCTCTCACTTTCTGTTTATTATATAACTTATAATTTATGTAATGATTTGTTGATCAATGATTGCAAATGTTTGGTGCACTCAATGAAAACTAAGGCAATAGTGTTTAATTACAATTACGACTACTATTATGAAAACACACAAAATATAAAGTAATAACAAAAACCAAACGCGAAAATCATAACTAAAACTAAGAATAATGAAAAGCATTATT